GGGGGCTGGGTGAGTGAGTATGTTTGGGTGTGTGGGTGTGTGGGCGTGTGGGTGTGTGTGTGTGGGTGTGTGTGTGTCTGTGTGTCCATGTGTGCCTGTGTGTGTCTGTGTGTGCGTGTTGTTTGTGTGTGTGGGCGTGTGCTTGCGTGTCTGTTTGTGTGTGTGTTGGGGGGCTGGGTGAGTGTGTGAGGGTGTGTGTGGGTGTGTGGTTGAGTGTGGGTGTGTGTGTGTCTGTGTGTGTCTGTGTTTGTGTGCCTGTGTGTGTCTGTGGGTTTGTGTGTTGGTGTGTGTGTGTGTCTGTGTGTGCGTGTGTGTGTGTGTGTGCGTGCGCGTGTGTGTGTGCGCGCGTGTGTGTGTGCGCGTGTCTGTTGTGTGGGTGTGTGGGTGTATGTGCGTACGTGTGTGTGCGTGTGTGTGTGTGTGGACGGGGTGGGCGCGTTGTGAGTGTGGGTGTGTGGGTGCGTGGGTGTATGTGTTTGTGTGTGTCTGTGTGTGTGCGTGTCTGTGTGCGTGTCTGTGTGTGTGTCTGTGTGTGCATCTTTGCGTGGGTGCGTGTGTGCATGTGTGCGAGTGTGCGTGTGTACGGCGAGTGCGGCGAGCGCGCGAGGAGCGGCCTATCGCTGCGCTCCCGCGCCCCACCCCGGGAAAACGGCCAGCCGTCCGAGCATCCGCCCACAAAGCACGCCCTGGGCGCGGCCTGTGGTGTGCGCCGACGCGCCCGGGCTCCAGGCAACGCGCCGGCATCGAGGCTCGGCGGCGCAAACAAGGGGGTGGGGGGAGGGGGGAAGGCTCCTTAGAAGGAGGCTGCTCCTCAGAGGGCGCTGGCCCCACATCTATAGACAAGCACCGCGCCTTCTACGAAGCAGGGGTGGTTCTAAGGAACCTTCCCCCCTGCGTTCACTGCGTGTGGCCGTGAGTCGGGAACTCGGGCTGAATGGGAGCGTACCATCGGATGCTGGGCAACGACAGGGAGTGACAAGCAGGAAGGGGCTTGCATCGACCTCGCGTGAAAGATACATCGCCCGTGCATCGTCGATACACCGTCGATGCAGACCACCCCGTGTATCGTCTATACATCGTCGACGCGTCAACCATTCGAGGACGATGCCTCCCCCCATATGCCTACCCCCTTCCATCATTTGAGCAGGGACCGACAGTCCCGGCATTCCTGTAGTCCTACCACGAAATGTTCTTAGAACTCACTGCTCTAAGAACAAAACTAAGGCTCTTAGAACAGGACTCCGATGTGTTAAAATTAGCCTGACGAAAACCCCAAACATACGTAGTTGTGAATACCGCAGTTGTGGATATATTCCTCGGTGGCGCTCCCTATGGGGCCACGAACCGCATGAAGGGCGTGCCGAAATGGGGCGGCGGCGCCATGCGCACTGCGCCACGGGGGCCTTAGGTGGAGCTCTCTATGGGGCCACGAAACGAATGAGGGGTGTGCCGAAATGGGGCGGCGCCGCCTATGGGGCCACGAAACGTGTGAGGGGTGTGCCGAAATGGCAGGGGGGGGAACCGCATGCGAGCGCAGCCACTGGGGCGTTCGGTGGAGCTCCCTATGGGGCCACGAAACGTGTGAGGGGTGTGCCAGAATGAGGGGTGGAACCGCATACGAGCGCAGCCACTGTGGCCGTTCGGTGGAGCTCCCTATGGGGCCACGAAACGTGTGAGGGGTGTGCCAGAATTGGGGGTGGAACCGCATGCGAGCGCAGCCACTGGGGCGTTCGGTGGAGCTCCCTATGGAGCCACGAAGCGTGTGAGGGGTGTGCCGAAATGGGGGGTGAACCGCATGCGAGCGCAGCCACTGGGGCGTTCGGTGGAGCCCCTGTGGGGCCACGAAGTGTGAGGGGTGTGCCGAAAAGGGGGTGGAACCGCATGCGAGCGCTGGGGCCTTCGGTGGAGCTCTCTATGGGGCCACGAAACGTGTGAGGGGTGTGCCAATGGGGGTGGAACCGCATGCGACGCAGCCGCTGGGGCGTTCGGTGGAGCTCCCACTGGGGCCACGAAACGAGTGAGGGGTGTGCCAGAATGGGGAGTGGAACCGCATGCGGCGCAGCCACTGGGGCCTTCGGTGGAGCTCCCTATGGGGCCACGAAGCGTGTGAGGGGTGTGCCGAAATGGGGGGTGGAACCGCATGCGAGCGCAGCCACTGGGGCCTTCGGTGGAGCTCCCTATGGGGCCACGAAGCGTGTGAGGGGTGTGCCAGAATTGGGGGTGGAACCGCATGCGAGCGCAGCCACTGGGGCCTTCGGTGGAGCTCCCTATGGAGCCACGAAGCGTGTGAGGGGTGTGCCGAAATGGGGGGTGGAACCGCATGCGAGCGCAGCCACTGGGGCGTTCGGTGGAGCTCCCTATGGGGCCACGAAACGTGTGAGGGGTGTGCCGAAAAGGGGGGTGGAACCGCATGCGAGCGCAGCCACTGGGGCCTTCGGTGGAGCTCCTATGGGGCCACGAAACGTGTGAGGGGTGTGCCGAATGGGGGGTGGAACCGCATGCGAGCGCAGCCACTGGGGCGTTCGGTGGAGCTCCCTATGGGGCCACGAAACGTGTGAGGGGTGTGCCAGAATGGGGGGTGGAACCGCATGCGGGCGCAGCCACTGGGGCCTTCGGTGGAGCTCCCTATGGGGCCACGAAACGTGTGAGGGGTGTGCCGAAATGGGGGGTGGAACCGCATGCGGGCGCAGCCACTGGGGCCTTCGGTGGAGCTCCCTATGGGGCCACGAAACGTGTGAGGGGTGTGCCGAAAAGGGGGGTGGGGTGGAGAAACTCCAATGGGAGGGGGGGGGAAATGCGAGCGCAGCCACTGCGGCGTTCGGTGGAGCTCCCTATGGGGCCACGAAACGAGTGAGGGGTGTGCGAGAATGGGGGGTGGAACCGCATGCGAGCGCAACCACTGGGGCGTTCGGTGGAGCTCCCTATGGGGCCACGAAACGTATGAGGGGTGTGCCGAAATGGAGGTGGAACCGCATGCGAGCGCAGCCACTGGGGCCTTCGGTGGAGCTCCCTGTGGGGCCACGAAACGTGTGAGGGGTGTGCCGAAAAGGGGGGTGGAACCGCATGCGAGTGCAGCCACTGGGGCCTTCGGTGGAGCTCCCTTTGGGGACACGAAACGTGTGAGGGGTGTGCCGAAATGGGTGCAGGGGACGCATGCTGCTGATGATGATGATGATGATGATGATGATGATGATGATGATGATGATGATGGTAATGGTGATGGTGATGATGCGGAGGATGATGATGATTATGATGATGATGATTATGATGATGATGATGATGATGATGATGATGATGATTATGATGATGATGCTGATGATGATGAGGAGGAGGATGACAATGATGATGATGGTGGCGATAACGGCGATGATGATGGCGATGATGGTGATGATGACGATGATGACGAAGATGACGACGACGATGATGACGATGACGATGACAACGATGATGGTGATGATGATGACGATGATGATGATGACGGGAGGAGGGAGGAGGGGGGAGGAGGGAGGAGAGGAGAGGAGAGGAGAGGAGGACGCGGGGCACCGTCTCTTCAAAACGAGGACCCAACACCACAGGATGGTTGGGAACAAGACAGTCTCAGCCTGAAATGCTCTAAGAACATCTCGTGGAAACCACAAAGAGGTCCTTAGAACATTGTTTAGCAGGTCTATCGGCGAGCCAAGTCGCTTCGCCGCTCCTTGAGAATCACTGTCCCCGACCGGCTCGGGCCGCGCGGGCACGGAGCCAGCACCGCACCGGACCGGCCGCGCCGGGAAGCTCAATGGCGCCACACGCTGGCGTCGGGCCGCATCGGGTCGGAGGACAACAGCGGAACCGAACCGCATCGGGACGGCCAGAAGCAGCATCGCATCGGATCGATCGCATCGAGAAACGGACCCTGGGCGATCCCCGAACTGGAAGAGACCGAGAGGGTGCAACATCAAGCACAAGAGTCAAAGATGCCGTGCAGGGGCAGCTGCCTCCCATGCCGGCACTGCACCGCCCTCTGCTCTGGGCTTAGGTCGGGCATATCCTCCTAGAGGCGGTTTTGGGAGGAAAACTAAGAATTACTCGCAAAAATATGCGAAGATCATAACATAACAACTCCTCGAAAAATCGTTCCCACATTTTTTTCTATGTTTGGATATGTCTCCTGTAGAGGGACGTGCCCGCCTTGACTCGTGGCGGAAGTCGTCGGCGAGAAGGCCTGGGGCAGCACAAATGCGCATGACCATAAATGCTCGAAGCGCCGCGCGGAGCTCATGGATCGAGGAGGGGCCTCCCCCCACGGCCAGAGCGCCGATCCAAGAAATCCGCGCGGACCTCCGACAGCTCACGTCCATGCCATGTTTTCGTCTTCGGATGACGGCGGCCATCACCCGAGTTGGAGGTCGACCACACATTTTTGATGTACCCCAGCATGCAAGTGGTCGTCGGAAGCACCGAGCAGGCGTAGAGTGCCAAACGATCTGCGAAGCCTTCGTCGTGTTTCTGTGCGGGGTCGACGACCATCCATTCGGGGGTACATTAATTCTGATGTCGACCTCCTACAGTGGATTCGTGTTGTGCCAACTTCGGCGCGGGCTCCTGACACCACGGGGGGTCGCTCAACCTTGAACCATCGGCCGTTACCAAGACGTCGGATCGTTCCCCACCGACCAATTCTGGGCCGCCTGCGGCGTTCCACGTGGAGCGCTCGCGGCGGGGTCGCGGCGAGTCGACACGACACCTATTGCATGGTCCTCCCGCGCGGACGCGAGAAAGGACCTTGCAATAGGTCGGGCATGTCCTCCTACCGGCGGATTTTAGAAGGCAAGCGCTCAAACATAACCAAGAAAATATCACACATGATCACAAAGAAGACTAGAACAGTCGCCCCCACAGCCTGTTACTTGGCTATTCCCGAAGCTTTGTGATGTAGAGTGACGTGCTCGACTTACACCTTGCATGGCATCACGCGCGCGCGCGCAAGGCGCTCTCGACGCGCGCGAGGAGCTCTCCTGGCGCACGGCCCGCATGCGCACAGGTGCCCGCAGGGCACGGCCGCGTGCGTCGCCGGGGACACCCCGCACCGGGCGCACAGGCCTCGGGCGGGGAGGCGGGCGTCTGCGGAGAGGACGGAAGGAGAGGAAGAGGGAGATGATGAGGAGGATGAGGAGAGGGGGGGAGAAGATGAGGAGGGGAGAGGCGGAGGAGAAGGAGAAGGGAGGAGGAGGAGGAGGAAGAGGAGGAGGAGGAGGGAGGAGGGAGGAGGATGGAGGGGAGATGAGGAGGATGGAGGGGACGGAGATGAGGAGGAAGAGAGGAGGGGAGAGGAGAGGAGGAGGAGGAGGAGGAGGAGGGAGGAGGAGGAGGAGTAGGAGTAGTAGAGGAGAGGAGGAGGAGGAGGAGGAGGAGGAGGAGGAGGAGGATGGATGGGGAGATGAGGAGGATGGTGAAGGGGAGGAGGAGGGGAAGATTAGGAGGCAACTGCTGGGAGGTCGTCGTCGGAAAGACAAACGGATTCAGCCCCAATGGGGGGCTGCTACGCCTGATCAGGTCGTGGGCTAGAGTCAAGCGCTAGTTCCCAAAGACTCTCGGCGACGAGCGGGGACGACCGAGGGGCCCGTAAACGAAGACGAAAGCGAGGGGCCAACAGAAACCGAGCACGGCGGAAGGACAACGAGGACAACGACCGAGAAGAAGGGGAAGGAAGTCTTCGTCGGAAGGATAAGAAGATGAAGCCCAATTGGGGGGGGTCCTGCACTGGAATAGGCCGCGGGTAAAGCGGGATGAAGACGGATCAAGCGGGGTGAAGCCAGATGAAGCCGGAATAAACAGGGCTTCGGACAAGGGCAAAGCAAGAAGTCGACCTCCCAGGAGCTGCGTCCGAAGGAAGAGGTGAATGAGGAGGACGGTGAAGAAGAGGGAGGGGTGGAGCCGAGGAGGAGGAGTGCCACACAGCAAACACTTCCGATAATGGATCATGCGGGTCCCAAGAATATACACCACCACCTCCTCCATTCCCCCTCCCTTCTCCACCCCCCTCCTCCCCCCCTCTTCCCTGGGAGAGGGATGGGGACAGCGAGGTGGTGGTGGCGTATATCCTCTGGCCCCGCAGATCATGCGGTGGAGAAGCCGGGGCACCGTCTTCGTCGACCTCGGGGGGAGGCCTGCGGTGCCCCTGGGCTTCTGCGTGGGGCCCGGGGGCGATCCTCGAGGAAGACGTTGCTCCCAGGGCGCCTGCTGAACAAAAGCAAAACAAACAACGATTTCCTGTACGGCGTGCCTGCAGTCGGCACTTATCATAAGGACCCGCGATAAGGATGCGAGGGCCTTGGACGCCCATTTCGGAGAGTCTCGAGCGGGGCGCGGCCGACGAAAGTGGCCCAAGACGAACCGCGGAGGCAAGGATGCAAGGGTACCCTTGGAAAGGTTGCCCATTCTAACTGTGCGGGTTGACTGTGCTGTCAGCGGTTGCGGGCATGGGTCTTGACCCCAAAGTGGCCGCAGAGCGGCCACCAGAATCGGCGTGCGGATCCATGCTCGAGCTTCCCGGGCGCCGAAACAAAGGAAGAGCGCCAGGATCGAAACAAAGGGCTATCTCGAAACCCGGGGACGGACCCCCGCTCCTCCTCCTCCGCACCGTCCTGCTCCCCCCCCCCTCCGCCCAGGGGAGGAGCGGGAGGAAGCACGGGGAGGAGGAGGCGGGTTGATGCCAGCCAGGAACCCCAAGCGTCGGGGCGCGAGCGACTGAGGCCTGGCACCGGGGGGGAGGGGAAGAGGAGGACGGCGGGAACTCTTCGGAACTCCCTGGCCCATCCCGAGAGTCCGAGGCGGCCCGGACTGCACCCCACGGCGAATGGTGGAGGGCGTCCGATCCGTTCTCGACCGGCCGGGCCGGGGCAGCTCTTCCCGTCGGCGAAGGCCACCTGCTACGACAGAGGGCAGGGGGTATTCAAGTACTCCACGGGCCGCCCGTCGCCGCAGCGCGCTCCGAGGCCCGCGCCGAGACACAGGGGAGGCGAGCGAGGACTGGGGGAGGAGGGACGAGGGCGGACGCCGCCCGCTCACCGAGGTTGGTCGGTTGGTGCTTGGGGAGGCGAGCGCTGGAAGACCTGCGGGCGCAAGATCCTTTTCGGTCACCCGGGGGTCTCGGCGGCCGCGAGAACGGCGAACAGCCCAGGGGCGGGCATCATACGTATTCGCCCGGGAGCCTTGTCGAAGCCATCGATCATCGGCGCCCCTGGATACATGTACTGCTCTCCCCTGGGCCATTCGCCCCTATCGTCGCCTCTGAGGGGGGGGGGGAGGGGGCGAGGGGAAGGGCAGGGGAAGGGGAGGGGGACCCCGTGAGTTTCTCCCCCCCCCCCCCCCCCCCAACGCTGCACCTGCTGGGCCGGCCCACGCTGCCGTTGCCCCCGAGGGGAAGGAGACCCCGCCCGGCCCAGGGCGCCTCGCCCGAGCGTCTGGCACGCCGCGCCCCCCACTGCGCCAGGTGCCAGCTCCTTTCTCCGACGGGCGGGGGGCCGGCAGCGCGAGGGAGTCCGCCCCCCCTGGCTCTCCCTCCCGCTCTCCTCCACCTTCTGCTCTTCCTCGTCCTCCTCCTCCTCCTCCTCCTCCTCCTTCTCCTATTCCTCCTCCTTCCTCCTCCTCCTCCTCCTCCTCCTTATCCTCCCCCTCCTCCCCCTTCCCCCTCCTCCTCCTCCTCCTCCTCCTCCTCCTCCTCCTCCTCCTCCTCCTCCTCCTCCTCCTCATCCTCATCCTCATCCTCATCCTCATCCTCATCCGCCTCCTCCCCTCCTCCCCCTCCTCCGACGCCTCGGCGTCCCTCCGCCGCGCCTTCGTGGCGCCACGCGCGCGGAGCCGAGTCCGAGTCCAGAGGTGCAGACGTGGGGCAACAAAGATGGACCCCCGCGGCATGGCCTCTGATGATCGTTGGAAGACTCCACGTGCAAATCTAGAATGTGCCCACTGGGTGTAGAACCTGAGGTAGGGTACGTGTACACGACAACACGAGGAGGAGGAGGAGGAGGAGGAGGAGGAGGAGGAGGAGGAGGAGGGGGGAGGGAGGAGAACGAGGAGGAGCAGAGGGTGGAGGAAAGCGGGATGGCGGGATGGAGGAGGAGGAGGAGGAGGAGGAGGAGGAGGAGGAGGAATAGCAGGAGGGGGAAGGGAAGGAGGAAGAAGGGGAGGGACAAAGAGATCACGACGGCCCGTCTTCTCCCGGGCACGGGCCTCCAGGGTGGCGATAGGGGCCGCGCGGGGCCGTCAACACACGCGGCCCCCGACGCACCACCAGCCCCTGGGTTGGGGGCGGGGGGGGGGGGCACACCCGTCCAAGGTCTGAGACGGGTTGCCCCCTCCCTCCTCTGTTCCCCCTTCCACCACTCCACCACTCCACCACTCCGCCTGGCCCTCCACCACTCCTCCCCTCTGTTCCCACTTCCCCCTCCCCATCCTCCCCCCTCTTCCCTCTAATCCTCCCTCCCTCTTCCACCCCCCATTCACTCTTTCGAGATCCTCCCCCATATGTCCCCCGTCCTCCAGGACCTCGGTCGTCCTTCTGCGTCCCCCATCTCCCTCCGCTCGTGGGGGGAGGATAGAGACAGGGACAGGGGGGGGGCGGCGGAGGGAGGAAAGCAGAGGGACGGGAGGCGAAGAGGCGGGGGAGGCGAAAGAAGGAGGGAGGGAAGGAGGGACAGGATGGAGGGGGGGGTGAGGGGATAGGAGGACGGGTAGGGGGGAAGGAGAGGGGATCAAGGGGCGGTGGACGGATGAGGGATGAGGGGAGGCCGAGCGTCGAGAGAGAGAGAGAGAGAGAGACAGAGAAGGAGAGGAGGGAAGGAAAGGAGATGAGCGAGCGGAGCCAGGGGTGGGGTGCCCTTGCGCCATACCTGACATCCTGCCCCCCAGCCACTCGCCATCGCTCGGACGTCCATTCCCTGTTTTTTTTAGGTTTCGTGCGTGGCTTTGTCGCCAAATGATCAAGGATGCTCCTCGATGGTTCTCGCCGAGAAAAAATGCACACGTCCGAGCGATGCCAGACCCAACCCTTCCCATTGCGCTGATGTGTCCACCAGCCGCCGACGCGTGTCACAGCGGGCTTGGACCCTCCAACGCAGGCCCCACCGTGTTCTGCGCAATCAGAAAAGGGGGCTGAGTAGAATGAACTCGCCATCGCTCGGACGTCCATTCTCTGTGTATTTTTCGGTTTCGTGCGTGGTTTATTTTTTTCTCGCCAAATGATCAAGGATGCTCCTCGATGGTCCCCACCGAGGAAAAAATACACACGTCCGAGCGATGCCAAGTGAAGGACAGGTGGAGGCTGAGCAGGGACATGCGCAGTATGAAAGGGAGGAGGAGGAGGAACAATGAGAACGATGACGAGCAGCAGCAGCAGCAGCAGGAGCTGGAAGGATCTAGAACCTTGGCCCGCGCTGGGGCGAGAGCGCCAGTCGGAACGACGGAAGCAGCGCCCCGATCCTAGAATGTTGACCGCGCAGGAGCAGGAACACCATGTTGGAAATGGTCAAAAACGCTCGGATTGGACAGCTCAAATCAGAGAGAAACGCTCAGACACATCCTGTGTGCAGAAAGCAACTCGCGGATGGGGGGTTCGCCACTCTCAAACAGTTCTTCGCGGGAGAAAGGGGAGTACTAGTATTCGTATTGAGTTGGCTGCTACGGGGAAAACGGGGACCATGACTCAGACCGCATGCAACAGCGTCGTGCTGATCCTGGTCACCGCGGGCGTCCACCTTGGCCAGCGTCGATTCGTGGACCGACCACGCGGGGACAATGACCGGGACCATCGACCCGCGCAGGGACCATGACCAGGACCGTCCGTGCATCGACCACCGACCCGTGGATGGACCACGACCCAGACCGGCGTCGATGACTAGATCCCATGGGACGTCTGCGTCGTGGTCCGTGTGTGCCTTCCCCCGACACCCGTATAGCGCAGAGCAGGGGCGGTGGCACTCCTCGGGGCAGCCCACCGTGCCCGGGAGGCCCCGGCGGGGCCCCGCGCCCGAGGCGCACTTCCGGTTCACCAGCCGGAAGCGGGGGCGCCTCACGGCCGCGGGCGGCGGCGGCGGCGGCTGGCCGCCCCCGTCGGGGGGCGAGGCCGCGCCGGGGAGGCCCGGGCCAGGCCCGCCACCGCCGACGGCGCACCTGCAGTGGCCCAGCTCGAACAGGCAAGGCGAAGCCAAGGGAGCGAGGGTAGCATCGGATGAAGATGAATCGAGCATCTCGGAGAACCGGCGGCACTGGAAGATGCCTCGGGCGCCGCGGCCTTCTCAGAGCGTTCCGGAACGCCGTGAGAGCGTTCTGGAACGCTCTCGAACTGATTATCCTCACCAGTCTCGAACTTATCCCTATCCCTAAGGTGGGCGAGCAGAAAACGAGGACACCCTCAGGGATGCGCCCTCAGAAACTGAGGGGATCCTTAAGATCGGCATCGAGGTGAGGTGATGCCAAACACAGGGATAGGGATATGCAAGCTGGAAATATTCTCGTCCAAGCCCCGCCCGGCTGAAGCGGGAGCGGGGCGGCGACGGCGGCCGGCCCCTGGGCTGCGGGCCCGGACCTCCGACGACGTGACTTCTGGTTGTCAGCACTGGCGCTTTCGTTTGGGATCGCGGCCTGCGGGGGACGTCGATTATTGACCGCCCTAAATCCGCGAAGCTCTTGCGTATTTAAAGACGACTGTGCGCGATGCCCAGGCGAGAACCACATTTTGGAAGCGACCCGCCCTCCATATGTAAAGCTGCTGCCAACTGTTAAGCTTAGGTCGGGCATGTCCCCCTACAGGCGGATTTTGGATGACAAATGACAAGATCATTCAAAACACTCCCACATGGTCCAAAAATAATCAAAAAAAACGTCCCCAGACTATGTTGTAACTATTCTGGAATTTTCCTCCTGTAGAGGGACATGCCCGACTTAATGTTAAACTTCGGTGTCAGAAATGGTGAGGAGGTCTCACGCGGCATGCTCAGTACGCCCTTTCGACCGGCCTCGGGGTGCGCTGATGTGCGATGAGGGGCCCCTGGGGGGCCTCGTGAGACCAGAGCCCTGACCACCTGCAAGGGCTGTCTGCGGGCAGTCCGCGGCCTTTTTGTTTGTTTTGTTTGTTCGAAGTTTGGCTGTCGTGTTTCTTTGCGTCCCCCCAATCAACCTCAAATAACCCCGCCCGTTGCCGAAAAGTGGGGGAAAGAGGACGATGACCATGACCAGGACTGACCGTGGAAACGTCGGCGACCATCTTGGTCACTAGTGCAGCTTGTGCAGCGTCAGAACCAAGACCATCCGGCCGGCCTGGGACATGACGAAGACCGGCATCGACAAGATCACAGGACATCTTGGTCATTGCCATCGCATTTTTGCCTCCAATGAAAGGGCCTTGAGGCGCCGCCTGGGTCGAGCCAATCAAATATCCGCAGCACGTCGTCGGCGGTCTTCCGGCAGAGGGGGCACCTGGCCCTGGTGGCGCAGGAGGCAGCACTGCGCACCTCTGGCTTGGGCGCAAGAGGAAGCTTAGCGAATCGGCCCCGCTGGCCGATTTCTCCACGCAGCGTGACAGCAGACTTCGTCCCCCCCCTTCCCTATCTGGAGTTAGGTCGGGCATGTCCCCCTGCAGGTGGATTTTGAGCGAAAAATAGAACATACACGGAAAATGCTCAAACAATGCTCAGGTATGGTAAACAAATCGTCCCCATACAATCTTTTCACTGTTTTGGAATGTTCCCCCTGTAGAGGGACAGGCCCGACTTCCATCTGGAGGCCTCGGACATGGGGTCCGAGCAGATGGAGCTCTGGGGTCACGCCGCCTCGCCCACGCACCGCCGCTGCATCGGCGTGGAGACAACGAGGGCCCGGGACCCTCCGAGGTGCCCCAGGGCGAGCGTGTGGGGGCCCCTGGGGCCAACTGGGGCACAAGATATCTTCGTGGGGATCCCGCCCTGCAAACCGATCTCTTGTCCGACGTGCTGACTGTACGCCCCCCCCTTCCTCGTGACCCCCCCCCTTGAGAATGCTGCGTGTCCTTTTTGAAATTGGACCCAGCATCCAAAGAACACACATGCGTGTATGTGTGTGTCTGTGTTGGACGTCGAGTTTTACTTCCTAGAGCACGAACTTGTTCCCAACCATCATGTGCTGTTGTGTCCTCGTCTTGAAGAGACAGCACCCCGCGTCTCCTTCGCTCTCCTCCCCTTTCCTCCTCCTCCCACTCCCCATCTCCCTCCTCCTCACCCTCCTCCTCCCCTCCTCCTCCTCCTCCTCCTCCTCCTCCTCTTCCTCCTCCTCCTCTTCTTCCTCCTCGTCCTCCTCTCCTCCCTCCTCCCATCATCACCACCACCACCACCATCATCATCACCATCATCATCATCATCATCATCATCATCATCATCATCATCATCATCATCATCATCATCATCATCATCATCAAAATCACAATCATCATCATCATCATCATCATCATCATCATCATCATCACCATCATCATCATCTGCATCATCTCTTCATCATCTTCATCAGCATCAGCATCATCATCATCAGCATCATCATCATCATTATCATCATCATCATCAACATCATCAGCATCAGCATCAGCATCAGCATCATCAGTATCAGCATCATCATCAGCAGCAGCAGCAGCACCAGCATCATCATCATCGTCGCCGTGATCATCACCACCATCATCATCATCATCATCATCATCATCATCATCGTCATCGGCATCATCATCATCCTCATCCCCATCTTCATCCTCATCATTATATGCATCAGCATCAGCAGCATCATCATCACCATCACCATCACGATCACCATGACCATCACCATCACCAGCATCATCATCATCGTTCTCATCGTTCTCATCGTCCTCTTCGTCATCATCGTTTTCGTCGTCCTCATCATCGTCATCGTCATCGTCTTCGCCACACCCCTCACGTGCTTCGTGGCCCCATCGGAAGCTCCACCTAAGGTCAAAGTGGTGCCGCCCGCATGGCGGCGCCGCCCCATTTTGGCGCACCCCTTACACATTTCGTGGTTCCATAGGGAGCTCCGCCGAAGCTCCCAGTGGCGCCGCCCACATGGAGGCGCCACCCCATATTGGCACACCCCTAACACGTTTCGTGGCCCGAAAGGGAGCTCCACCGAAGGTCCCAGTGGCGCCACCCGCATGGCGGCGCCGCCCCATTTTTGGCACACCCCTCACATGTTTCGTGGCCCCATAGGGAGCTCCACCGAAGGACCCAGTGGCGCCGCCCGCATGGCGGCGCCGCCCCATTTTGGCACACCCCTCACACGCTTCGTGGCCCCATGGGGAGCTCCACCGAAAGGCCCCAGTGGTGCAGTGTGCGTTACCCATGTCTCGGCACACCCCTCAAGCGTCTCGTGGCCCCACAGGGAGCTCCACCTAAGGCCCCAGTGGCACAATTCGCATGCGGGCGTCATTTTATTTGCTATGGGAAAACCCTCACGCTTTTCGTGGCCCTTAGGGAGCTCCACCTAAAGCTCCAATGGCGCAGTTCGCATGCGACTGGTCCCCTCCTTTCCGCACGGCCGTCACGCGTTTCGTAGCCCCATAGGGAGGTTCACCACCGAAGGCGCCAGTGGCAACGCTCAGACGTGGGTGGTACCCCAGTTTCGGTACACGCTCCAACAACTGCCCAGTGGCATTGCTCACATGTGGGCGTCACCCCCTTTTTTTGCCGACCCCTCACACGCTTGGTGACCCCATGGGGAGCTCCACCGAAGAAGGTTCTCACAACTGCGGTACTCACAGCTGCATATGGTTGGGTTCTTCGCCAGCATAATTCGGAAAGTCGAAACTTCCCAAAACACCCAGTTCTGTGAAAGCTGGGAACTCGCCCTCCAAAAGCACGCAGAATGTCGGAAGCCGAACTCGACTTCCGCACAAATGCGTGTGTTCTGTCAGTCTGGAAAGGCGCGCCTGCTCCCAGCCGCACGCGGCGCAGACGCACAGGTGCCCGCAGGGGGCGAACGCGTGGGTCCGCGGCCCCTCCAGCAGAACGCAAAAGGAGTGACACCCCAGGAGAGATTGTGGAGATCTTCTGACCCTGGTCGATCCAGACCCGGGTCAGCCGAGCCTTGCAGAATCCTGCAAGATCCTGCGCCCAAACCCGGGCCAATGCGATGGACCCAGCGAGATCCTGCAGGATCCTGCACCCAAGCCCGGTCCAATGCGACCCCGGCCCTGCCGGAGCCTGCAAGACCCGGCGCTCTGGCTGACCCCCTCCTGCATTGATTGGCGGCGTGCACAAGGGGGTGGAGGGAGGGGGGAGGGCTTCTTAGAAGCAGGCTGCTTCTTAGAAGGCGCCGGCCTTACATCTATAGAGAAGGCCCGCGCCTTCTACGAAGCAGGGGTGCTTCTAAGAAGCCCCCCCCTCCCCCCACCCCCCTCTGCGCGTAGCCGAATTGACCCCCGTCGCTCGAGCCCCGAAAGATTGGCCTCTGGTGCGCCGCCGGCCGATCGCCGAGTGCGGTGCAGCAGAGGCGACCTGCGCGCCTGGGCTCGGGCCCCCTTCGCGCGCCAGAGGCCACTGCGTCCAAGGGTCTCACCCCTCTGCACGTACAGAAGGGGCTTTGACCTAAGAAACCCTAAATAAGAAACGAGGCCTCTTTTTCCCATAAGCTTAACTTCGATTTCCCTTCGAAACCCTAAGCAAAACCAAAGGCGAACTGCAAAACAACTAAGGAACACCGAGCCCCTCCCCAACGAAAGGGGTTCCTTCCTCAGTGCCCCGACTGTAGCCTTGGGTCGGGCATGCCCTCCTACCGGCGGACTTTGGAAGAACAAATAATCAATACTCTGAGCACACTCTGATGACGGGCCACAAACAATCAGGAAACCGTCCCCGGACGATCCTGGGACTATGTTTGAATACTTCTCCCGTAGAGGGACATGCCCGACTAGAGGCCTCCTAGATGGGGTCCCACTAGATGGGGTCGAAGGATCGCGCCGCATCGCCAATGCATCGCCGACGTATCGGCGATGCATCGGCGATGCATCGGCGACGTCGCCGTGGGGAAACATGGGCCCCACATCGAGCCGCATCGGCGATGCATCGGCGATGCGGCGCGCTCCTCCGACCCCATCTACTCGGACCCTATCTAGGAGGCCTAGGCTGAATATCGCTTAACCGATCCCCATCCCCAGCGGCGTGGCCTGGGCCCCGCTGGCCGATGTACCCCCCTAGATGGGGAAAGGGGTCGTTTCTTTCGGGTTTCGAGGGGTGTATCCCCAACTGGGGTGGCAGTTGTGCTGGGGGTCCCGCAGGGCATGGAGCTGGGCAGGAGCATCGGTGAAACGAGACCGATCCACCGACGTGCGCGCCGCCGGCTCCTGCAGGCAGATCACGCAGGCCTCCCGCTCCTCCGCGCTCGTCTGGCACGCCGCGTCCGCGGCCCCGCGGGGCGCCCGGGCCGCGGCGCCGGCCGGGCCCTCGGCGCGCTGCGCGGCCGGCGCCGCGCGCGGCACGGCGCGGCTCTCCTGCAGGAGGGCCCCGACGGGAGGCCCGGCGATGGGCGCCGGCACTGGCACAGGGGGGCTGCCTCCACGGGGGCAGGATGGTCCTAGATTTCGGCGCTGGTGGTACAGTCGGGGCGTTGACCTAAGGAACCCTGAATAAGGAACGAGGCCCCTTTTTCCCATAAGTTTAACTTCGATTTCCCATCGAAACCCTAAGCAAAACCAAAGGCGAACTGCAAAACAACCAAGGAACACCGAGCCCCTCCTCAACGAAAAGGTTCCTTTTTCAGAGCCCCGTCTGTAATATTTCGGCCACCCTGGAGGCCAGAATTGTTACCACCATCACCGAGATCGGCATCCTCGTCCCTCGGTGGAGGCACACGGCCGATATGGGTGTTTGTGTCAACCTCTGGGCCTGCGACCCTACACTGGGTCGGGCATGTCCCCCTACAGGCGGACTGTGGAGGAATACTTCACAAAAAAAATACACAACAAATATTCAAGAATGGTCGAAACATCGTCCCCAGACTATCTTTGACTGTTTCTGACTATTCCTCCTGCAGAGGGACAGGCCCGGCTGAACCCTGACACGTGCTCTGGACCATTTGACGCCTCGAGAAACTCATCGCGGAAGTGCTGCGCCGTGTTCGGCCCCCAGGGGGGCCCTCGCGGGGCCCCGGGACAGCACAGCAACGATCGAGGATGAGAAGCCGGGGCTCCCAGGGAGCGGGCCGAGACCTCGACCCTGGAGAAGTCACGACGTCGGGGCTCTGGGAACGACGACAGCCCAAGCCAAATACAGTCGAGGCGTTGACCTAAGGAACCCTAAATAAGGAACGAGGCCCCTAATTTCCATAAGTTAAACTTCGATTTCGTATCGAAAACATAAGGAAAGCCTGAGGCAAGCTGTGAAACACTGAAGGAACACGAAGCCCCTCCCCAACGAAAAGGGTTCCTTCTTCAGGGCCCCTACTGTAGTCTTGCAAAGAGCAATTACACGTCGGCCGGAAGAAGTGGGCACGCAGAAGCCTGAAGTAGGAAGGCGCCTGAAGCAGATTGGGAACCAGGTGTCCAGAAATACATACTTTCATTGACCGGCGTGTACCGGGGGTCTTCGCGGACTCCTTGAGTCGGCGCCAGATCACCCTCGAACGCTTCCTAAATCGCGGCAATTACCAGAGATCCGACGTCGTGATTTTTTCAATACGGGGCCCCCAGAGGTCTCGACCCATTCCCTGGGACTGGCTTTCCATCCTGAAGCGCTCTTTGAAGGTCCTGGGGCCCGGCGAGGGCCCCTCGAGGCCGAAAATTAGGAAAAACCTTCGTCTTGATTTTGTCAATGCGTTGGATCTCTGGGAACCGGCGCTATGGGGGCGGAGGGGGGGGGGGGACGGGGGGTACACCGGACTGTGGCGCCCGCAACACAAAGGCAGTGCCGGGGACGCACTGAGGGGGCGAGCGTTGCGTTATGGGGGGGGAAGAAGGGGGGGTATGTATGGTCGGGCGTGTCCCCCTACGGGCGGATTTTTGATGAAAATTGAACATCGGCCAAAAATATGCAAAAGATGTTCAAACATAGTGCCAAAAAAATCCCATACATTTGTTTTACTATTTTGAACATTCCTCCTTTAGAGGGACACGCCCGACTTCAGGGTATGGGCAGGCATCACTCGCGTTACAGTAGGGGCCCGACCTCAAGTAGCCTGCCACAGGAAACCCAGCCCTGAGACCCCAGGGCGTCCATCGACTTTTGGTGTGGGGGCGTCGCGCCCTCCATGGCAGGACCATCGAGACCCCAGAAACCCAGGGCACCCTGGAGGCGAGCAGGGTGTTTCTTGGCATGGGTCTCCACTGTATGGCCCCGAGGTCGATGTATGTATGTGCACATATATATATAGAGAGAGAGAGAGAGACACGCAGAAATCTTCCTGGCGAAAGACCCAACCATACGCAATTGTGAACACCGTCGCTGTATGCACCGCATTCGGAGGAGCCCCCCATAGGGCCACGAAGCTCGTGAGGGGTGTGCCAAAATTTGCCCGGTGGGCGCATGCGAAAGCATCCACTGGAGCCGTCGGTGGAATTCCCTGTGGGGCCACGAAACTCGTGAGAGCAACCACTGGGGCCTTCGTTGGAGCTCCCTACGGGGGCGCGGAGCGTGTGAGTGTTGTGCCGAAATGGGCGCGGTGGGCGCATGCAAACACAGCCACTGGCGCCTTCGGTGGAGCTTCGTATGGGGCCACGAAACGTGTGAGGATTGTGCCGCAATGGGTATGGGTAACGCATGCGGGCGGCGGCACTGGCGCCTTCGGTGGAGCCCCTACCTGGGCCACGCAACGCGTGAGGGGTGTGCCGGAATGGGCGTGGGTGACGCATGCGGGCGGTGGCACTGGGGCCTTCGGTTGAGCTCCCTATGGGGCCACGAAATGTGTGAGGGGTGTGCCGAAATGGGTGTGGGTGACACATGCGGGCGGTGCCACTGGGGCCTTCGGTGGAGCTCCCTATGGGGCCGCGAAACGTGTGAGCGTGTGCCGGAAAATTACTCCGACGGAAGGACCCCACATGAGAATCCTCTGGGCGAATTTGGAAAAAGCTTTCACCTTCGTCCTCGTGGTTGGTGAGGCGTCCTGGCTGTCTCTTTTGCGTATATTTCTTCTCGCCCTGGCGCGGGCCTTCCCCCCGCTCCCTACGTTGCCCCCGACCTCGTCATCATCATCATCATCATCATCATCATCAGCATCATCATCATCATCATCATCATCATCATCATTATCATCATCATCGGGTGCGTCCCAGGTGGATACGCACAGAGGAAACGCACGGGGTGCGTCCCAGTGGATACGTGCGGGGGCACGACCCAGAGGAAGCGCACAGGGATGCGTCCCAGTGGATACGTGCCGGGAATATCGCTCTGGGAACACGACGAACACAAAATGGCCTACAATTGGCTCCGGACATTCAGAATGTGGCCCGGGAGTTGTGTTCTGGGAGCACGAAGAACACGAAGTGGCCTACAGCTGGCTCCGGGCATTCAAAATGTGGCCCGGGAATGGCGTTCTGGGAGCACGAAGAACACGAAGTGGCCTACAGTTGGCTCCGGGCACTCAACTTGTGGCCTGGGAATGGCGTTCTGGCAGCGCGAGAGCCCAACAGTTGCGACAGTTGTAGGAATTGGACAACCCGCTCGGATTAGTAACATGATCCACGGGCCCCATAGGGAGGGGACTCCGGCTTGAGACTTCCTCGGGTTAGTAACATGATCCGCCTGGGAATGGCGTTCTGGCAGCGCGAGGGCCCAAAAAAGGCGACAGCTACAGGAATTGGATGACCCGCTCGGATTAGTAACATGATCCGCGGACCCCATAGGGAGGGGGTTCCCGCTTGAGACTTCCTCGGATTTGTAACATGATCCGCCTGGGAATGGCGTCCTGGCAGCGCGAAAGCCCAAAAACGGCGACAGCTACAGGAATTGGATGACCCGCTCGGATTAGTAACATGATCCGCGGGCCCCATAGGGAGGGGGCTCTCGCTTGAGACTTCTTCGGATTAGTAACATGATCCGCGGGCCCCATACGGAGGGGGCTCCCGCTTGAGACTTCCTCGCAATTTACTCACAGACGAGGCCCAAGGCGAGTGAGTGAGTGAGTGAGTGAGTGACTGACTGACTGACTGACTGGTGATGATGCTGATCATCACACTCTCTCACGCGCACACTCATCAGCATCATACGTGACTTCATGAGCGTGTGAATGAGTGAGTGCTGATGAGTCAGTGAATGAGTGAGTGAGTGAGTGAGTGAGTGAGTGAGCTAGCGAGTGAGTGAGTGAGCGCACGAAGACAGAAGAGGAGAGCGGGTGAGGTGAAGAGGTTCCTGCGCGGGGTGTCCAGAGAAAACAATTCATTCACAGACGAGGCTCCCGCCTGAGACTTACCCCATATTCAGGCCTGTGGAGCCCAAAATTAACGACAGCTACAGGAATGGGATGACCCGCTCGGATTAGTAACATGATCTGCGAGCCCCATAGGGAGGGGGTCCCGCTTGAGACTTCCTCGCAATTCACTCACAGACGAGGCTCCCGCCTGAGACTTCCTCCATATTCAGGCCTGAGGAGCCCAAAACTGATGACGACAGTTACAGGAATTGGATGAGCCGCTCGCATAAATAACATGATCTGCGGGCCCCATAGGGAGGGGGGTCCCGCCTGAGACTTCCTCGCAATTCACTCACAGACGAGGCTCCCGCCTGATACTTCCTCCAAATTCAAGCCTCAGGGGCCCAACAGTGATGACAGTTACAGGGTTCCGATGACCCGCTCGGATTAATAACATGATCTGCGGGCCCCATAAGGAGAGGGCCCTTGCAGGCATTCCTGGCGTTCTGGGAGCACGAAGAACACGAAGTCGCCTACAGTTGGCACCGGGCATTCAAAATGTGGCCTGGGAATAGCGTTCTGGGAGCGCGAAAGCCCAAAAGTGGCGACAGTTACAGGAATTGGATGACCCGCTCGGATTAGTAACATACTCCGCGGGCCCCATGGGGAGGGGCTCCCGCCTGAGACTTCCTCATAATTCACTCACAGACGAGGCCCAAGGCGAGTGAGTGAGTGAGTGAGTGAGTGAGTGAGTGACTGACTTACTGACGGTTATGATGATGATGATGATCATCACACTCTCTCACGCGCACACTCATCATCATCATCATCATCATCATCATCATCATCATCATCATCATCATCATCATCATCATCATCATCATCATCATCATCATCATCATATGTGAGTGCTGATGAGTCAGTGAGTGAGTGAGTGAGTGAGTGAGTGAGTGAGTGAGTGAGTGAGTTAGAGAGAGAGTGAGTGAGTGAGTGAGTGAGAGAGTGAGTGAGTGTGTGAGGGATGATGAGTGAGTGAGTGAGTGAGGGATGAGTGATGTTGATGATGGTGGGTTCCTGTTCCTGCGCGGGGTGTCCAGAGAAAACAAGAACCCCACTTTGGATGTGGGGAAAAAGGATGTGGGTGACACA